GTGTGTGTGTGTGTGTGTGTGTGTGTGTGTGTGTGTGTGTGTGTGTGTGTGTGTGTGTGTGTGTGTGTGTGTGTGTGTGTGTGTGCCGTCTGCCCGTTTGTGCCCGTCTGCCCGTTTGTGCCCGTGTGTCTGTCTGTCTGTGCCTGTCTGCCCGTTTGTGTGTTCGTCCCTCTCTTACACCATGCCACGCACCAACTCGCCCCAACAGAAGAAGAAGAAGGCTGCAAAGAAGGCAGAAGAAGTGGAGCCCAAGGAGCAGGCACCAAAGGATGAACTCTGAACATGTGCACACAACACAACACACAGCACAACACAACTCAACACAACTCAACACAACACAGCGTCCCACGTGCTGATTGTCACAAGCTGCGAGTAAACAAGAAAACACGCTGCCACCCACTCACTCCTTCTTCTTCCTCCAAAACAACAACAACGATATGATGAGGCTGTCTGGTGTTGTTCTGTTGATGGCAGTGGTTGCGTGCGCCTGTGCGAGTGCGCTCGCCAGCCCCTTCCAGCCACGCATCGCGGACGTCAAGAACCTGGCTGTGTACAGCACATGGCAGAGGCCCGGCGTGGTGGGTGCTTGATGAGGGCTGTAAAGGTTGGAAGAGGGAGAGGGGTGCGGGGAGTGGGTGGGTTTGCCATCACACATTCACAACATCATTCATCAACAGCCAGCAGCAACCTGCGCTGGTGCACGTGTGTCGCATGAGTAAACCTCTGCTCACGCTCGCCTGTCTGCCTGCTTGTCGCTGTTTGCATCCACCATCCAGGGCAACGCCACCCTTTACGCTGCTCACGCGCCCGGCTATGACGAGCCCATCTATGTCTTGAACATCACTGGCGTCGATCACCATGCGGTACCGTGTTGTGTGTGTGTGTGTGTGTGTGTGTGTGTGTGTGTGTGTGTGTGTGTGTGTGTGTGCGTGAGTGTGTGTGTGTGTGTGCGTGTGTGTGTATGTATGTCTGTATGTCTCTCTCTCTCTAGCTCTCTCTCTCTCTGTCTGTCTGTCTGTCTGTCTGTCTGTCTGTCTCTGCGTCACTGTGTATGCCCATGTTTGCTTCTCTCGCTGACCTTAAAGCGCATCTGCGCCCATGTGACAGATTGGCTATGGCTATGGCATTCTCATGGCGAACCAGTCCATCGAGAACTTCGAGAACCTCATTAACGCCCTCCTTCCAGAGAAGGACTTGCAGGTGCAGTGTAGTGTGTATGGTTATGAATGCGATGGCTAGCTGCAGCACACTCGCTTCAGCACTCACGCCTTGGCACCTGCTCTTCGCCCACTGCATACAGCTTGTTCTGGAGGCCTACTGTGACTGGCAGTACGAGTACATCATCCACAACCTTCCACAGGTGTGTACATGTGTGTGTGTGTGTGTGTGTGTGTGTGTGTGTGTTTTCTTTGTGTGCGTGTGTCTTAGTGCCTGGCAATCCTTTCCTGCTTCCTCGCCTGGCATGCTTGCTTCCCATCGCCCAGTGCTCACACACGTTGATGGGTGGATGGTTGGTAGGACTTCCAAGACGAGATCAAAGGCATCGAAGAAGGTCGGGCACAACAGCGCATGCTACTCCTGCTCACCCAGACAACCCTGCAACAGCAAACGCCCACAACCAACACACAGAGACGGACACGCCCTCACACTCACCTTATCCCACTCATTCACTCATTCACTCACCCACCGATTCACTCACGCACTCACTGGCATTCCCTCACTCACTCACTCACTCACTCACTCACTCACTCACTCACTCACTCACTCACTCACTGGCATTCCCTCACATCACCCGTGGCATCTTGCATGATTGCAGGCACGGCTGACATTGGCCTGCCCCACGCCGCCAAGTGCATCAAGCGCGCCCTCACCATCGCCTCCATTGCTGTTGGCGACCTGTCCCGCGATATCCTGTATCTGCTGAAGAACGAACTCTCCCGCCACCCTTCATCTTCGCTCGCCGCTGCCGCTGCCCGCCTGCAGCAGCGCGGCCTTGATATCGACGCCATCGCCGAAGCCATCGCCACATCAAAGTGAGTTGGAATGTGTGTGTGAGTGTGTGTGTGTGTATGTGTGTGTGTGTGTGCCTGCGTGCGTGTGGAGGGGGCCTCTTCGTGTACCACCAACATGGTATTGCGTGCCACGTCACTGATGCTTTCCCTCTCCCTCTCTCCCTCTCCACCACATCCGCTCTTCCCACCTCCACCAGGGTGCTGTCGCTTGGCCGCACGTGCTCGATGTTTGGCGCGTGGGGAACGCGAACAGAGAACGGTCGCCTGTTCTCTGGCCGCAACCTTGACTGGGCCGCAGACACAGGCATTGCGAAGAACAAGCTCGTCACGGTGTGTGTGTGTGTGTGTGTGTGTGTGTGTGTGTGTGTGTGTGTGTGTGTGTGTGTGTGTGTGTGTGTGTGTGTGTCTCCCTCTCTCTCCAAGCCTGCCTGTCCATCTGCCTTCATATATTGTTCTGTGTTTGCGCCTCACTTGCTTTCCAATGGGTTCCGGCGTGACACATTGCCGTGGTTCGTCCTTGCGCGTTCAACTCCCCGACCATCCACGACACACATGCGTTGCTGCCTTGTCCGCCACCTGCAGGTGTACCACATTGGCGAAAACACCGTCCCCTATGCGTCCGTGTCGTTCTCTGGCGTGATTGGCGCCATCACGGGCATCTCGGCTGCAGGCATCACTGTGCACGAGGCCGGTGACGATACGCGCAACGTCACCCTCAACGGCTTTGCCTGGTCCCTTCGCCTCCGCGCTCTCATGGAGGAGGCAAAGTGAGCCTTCACCTGTGTGTGTGTGTGTGTGTGTCTGTCTGCATGTGTGTCTGTCTGTCTGCCTGTGTGTGTGTGTCTGTGTCTGTGTGTGTGTCTGTGTGGCGTTTGCTGCTCTAGTTGACGGCACCCCCAACCTCTGTTTGTCTATAATTGCCGCTCCCTTCCACGTCATGTTCGTCGTTGATTCTTAGGAACATGGATGACGCGCTCTCGTTCTGGAAGCGCACGCGCAACACGATGGGCATGAACCACGGCGTTGGCAGCGCTGCTGACAACAAGTTCCTCGCCATGGAGACAGAGGTGCGGTGGCTCGTGTTGCTGGTCGTTGGCTTGTGCATGCACCATCCGTGCTCACAACTATGTTGCACCTGTTGTTGACTGACGCACCAAACGCACACATGTGCACATGCACACACTAACTCACACATGCGTATGCACACACACACACGCCACATGCGAGTAGGAAGACTATACTGCCTATTTCTTCGACAACGACCCGCGAGAGGCAAACTTTGTCGTTGACGGCAAGCACTATGGGTTCCCACTCAAGGACGCGGTGTGGCGCACCAACCACGGTTACGATCCCACCTTCCGCGCTGATGGCTTCAGCTCACATCCGGGAACAGACTCGTTCAACCGCTACCTCCTCCTTCACGACACGTTCCTCGGGTAAACACTGCTTGTTGTGTGTGGGTTTGTGTGTGTGGGTTTGTGTCTGTATGTCTGTCTGTCTGTCTGTCTGTCTGTCTGTCTGTCTGTCTGTCTGTGTCTGTGTGTGTCTGTGTGTGTGTGTGTGTCTGTCTGCCTGTCTGTCTGTGTATCTGTCTCTTCTTTCCTTCGCAATCCACACGTGTTTGTTCTTCGTGACAAACCTGACCACACCCACACCACTTGCCACCACCCCTCCAACCCCTGTGTGCCTGCCCGCCAATGCTGACTCCCTTTGTTCCGTTTCAGCTACGAGACGGCGTCTGTGGCGATCTCCGATGTGCAGGCCGTCAACCTGACAGCCGTTGTTGGTGATAAGGGCGGCAGCTCCCGCGACAGCTTCCTTTCCTGCCAGAACGCAGCACAGGGCAGCAACATCATCTCAGCCACCTTCAAGCCAAGCACGACAGGTGCGCCTGTGTGTGATCTGTCTGCCAGCATGTGTGTGTGTGTGGTCTGTCTGCCAGCATGTCTGTGTGTGTGTGTGTGTGTGTCTGTGTCTGTCTGTGTCTGTCTGTGTCTGTGTCTGTGTGTGATCTGTCTGTCTGCCATCCTGTCTGTCTATCTGTGTGTGTGTGTGTGTGTGTGTGGTCTGTCTGACAGCCTGTCTGTCTATCTGTGTGTGTGTGTGGTCTGTCTGACAACCTGTCTGCCTCACACTGTGTCGTTTCCCACCTCCCCCAACTGCACCTGCACGCACGTCTTTCTCACTTTCTGCCACGTGCGAACACTCCGCGTATGTGATGCGCAGGCCACGCCACCATGTACCTGGCGTTTGAGAACGGCCATAAGGATCAGCATGTGCCTGCTTGCTGCAACAACTACATCAAGTTTGACATGAACCAGTTCTTTGGCGTGTAACGTTGCAACACATGAACCTCTCCACGTTCCATCCAGGCCATGCGCACCCGTTGGCCCGCTTTGGTGTTGCCCAGCTTGTCTCTGATTTTGCACCATCCAACCAACAAGCACACCCTTGTTGTGTGCTCTGTCATGCTGAATGCTGTTGTTCTCGTGCTGCTTGCTCTTGTTCTGCGTCTCGTTGTTGTTCTTGCTCTTGTCTTTGTTCTCGTGCTTCTTGTTGTTCCTTGTCTGCTTCCACCGTCAGGTTTCAACCCAGCACAACACAACGCGTGCAGATCGTTTCGTCATTGCACCCCTGCATTGTTTCGCTTGCTGTCGTCACCCACCAGCAATACACACAATCCTCCTCCTCCTCCTCCTCCTCTTCCTCCTCCTCCTCCTCCTCCTCCTATTGCTGAAGCGAAGGAAGGATTCCCGTCGACTCTGGCCTTGCCTGCAAGCAAGCAAGTGCAGCAGCCATGATGACCTTCCTTTGTTTAATTCGTTCAAAACGATGATGTAACAAGCATGCAAGCACGCACACGCGCGCTGATAACGGCTGCTGGGCGGATGAAACTGGTGAAGATGGTGGAGGGTGAATTGAACAAAATCATCGTGTAACAAGGATCTAGTGTCTCTGGAAACAAAAACGAGCGAGAGACTCTAACGACACAACAGCCGTATGAGAGCAACAAACCCCCCCCCCCACCACAGCTCTGACACGCCAGTCAAACACAGAAACACATACACACAAACATACACACATACACACATACACACAAAAACAAACACACAAACACCCACATACAAACACAAACACTCATACACACGCACACACACACAAACACTCCCCTCACTCTACGTTGCGCGTTATTAGAGAGACGATTCGCCGTCAAACGACTGCAGTGTGGTGACAATTTGCGAAAAGGTCAGGCGCTCCTGCGGGTTCTCGCACCAGCACTGAGCTGCAAGGTCGATGTAGCGTCGATCACAGCAGTCCTCGGGCATGGTTGGCCGCAACCCAGCCAGCACTCCTTTACGGATGCTGCCTTTGTAATCCCAATATGGCAGCCGGCGGGTGGTAATCTCGCTGATGACAATCCCATACGAGTACACGTCAGCAGGCAGCCCGTACGCCTTGTCTGCCAGCGCTTCCGGAGCCGTCCAGGGGATGGTGCCGATGCCCGTGGTCTGGTTCCAGATGTTTGCGTAGTCCGCCTCGTTGCGTTGCGTTGCAGCTGGGGATGGCCGCTCCCCGATGACCACCGCATCCTCGTCATCGCTGTCAGTTGTCAGCAGCATGGCGCCTTCCAACCCACCACCGCTGTCCGTGGTGGTCTCGTCGTTGCCATCGCCATCATCAAGATCGGCAACAAGCAGCTGCTGACCAGTGTCTCGCCGCTCGTGCTGAGCCTGCGCTTGCAGGGACACCGGCAACTCATCAAAGTCAAACTTGTCACCGCCATCGCTGCGTGGCAACACGGACATTGACTTGGCTTGCCCACGCCTGCGCATGCCACGCGTGAATTTGCACGCCGTGCGCTCCAGCCCACCGCACACCTTCCCCATCGTGGATGCCTTCTTGTCAGCGTCGAGCCAGGAGCAACCGCCCTGCCCACCGCCCCGAGTCCCCTCCACGTGCTGTCTCCCAAGTGCGCTCATGGTTGCGTTGCGTGCATGCGCCATGCCGGCACTGACCTGGGACGCACGACGCTGCCGCGTGAGAGCGTCTTGCACGACGTTCTTGGCGGTCGTGAAGTCGGTTACCTTGATGCGCCAGTCCATGGTGACGAGCAAGTTGGCGCTCTTCAGGTCGCGGTGCATGCGCCCCTTTTGGTGGAGGTAGTGCATGCCCGCTGCCGTGTCGCACAGGAACGAGTGCTTGCGCGCGTCAGAGATGGGAACGGCGTTGTCGGCAAGGATGGTTTGCAGCGAGCCGCGCTCCACATACTCCATGACGAGAAACGGCTGTGCGCCGAGATACGCGCCGTGGAAGCGGACGATGTTTGGGTGTCGCAGCTGCCGAACAAACTTCACCTCGCGCTCAAAGTCCTGCTTGCACGTGTCATCAAGTTGCAGGATGGCCTCGCGCAGCCGCTTCACGGCCACGTTCAGGCCCGCAGAGAGCCAGACCATCAACTCCACCCGGCCAAACGCGCCCTCATCGAGCACGCGCACAAACTGCAGCTCGTCCGGAGAAATGGTCCAGATCTGCTCAAAGAGCTCAATCTCCTGCTCCTTTTCGTCCAGCAGCCGCTGCTGAAGCGCGGAGTGCTGCTTGATGGAGGTGGCCACGCGGCGGTAGAAGCGAAGCACGTGCCAGGTGGCAAACCCAATGACCGCCAGCGCAAACAGCGTGCCAAGGACAATGCCGAGAACGTTGATGTCGCAGGCCTTGCCAGAGTACCCAAAGGAGCAGCGGCAAATGCAGTCGGAAGCAACGGCTGTGCCAGTACCATGCACGCACGCGCTGTCACGACAGATGTTGCACAGGGACACGTCCGTGGCGCCTTCCGTCTTTGTCGTCAGGTCGCCGCTGCACTGCACGCAGGAAGGGTTGCTGAGGTCGGAGCGGTATGTGCGAAGCGGACACGGCACGCACTGGCCGTTGTCAGCGCTGAACCCAGGGTTGCATGTTGGGCGAAAGGCAATCACGCTTCTGAAGAACCGCTGGCGCGATGTGCCTCCAAACACAAACACGGTGTCTCTGAATGCGCTGCAGGTGTGTCCTAGGCGGCCGGGGGACAGGGAGAACCGCACGTGGTTGTCGCGCAGCCGCTGCCACCGCTGTGACGCGTGGTGGTAGAGCCAACCATCACCGAGGTCCACTCCGAGTCGGCTTGCTCCTCCAATCATCACCAGCTGCCCAGCAATGGGGCCTTCGTCCATGCGAACTGCACAATGGCTCGTGCGCTGTGTGCGGCGTTTGTGCGGCGTTTGTGCGGCGTTTGTGCGGCGTGTGTGCGGCGTTTGTGCGCGCGCGCGCGCGTGTGTGTGTGTGTGTGTGCGCGTGTGTGTGTGTGCATGTGTGAGTGAGAAATATACGCTGGAGAGGTGCGCACGAGAGACACACAGACACAGAAAGAGACAGAAAGAGATCAACAGACCAGCAGATCAACAACTTGTACGTGAGAGTAGCAGATGGCTTTGCCCTTCTCGCAAGAGATGGTCAAAAGCATAAAATAAGTGGTACCACAGCAACAACAAGGACAGGCAGTTTCACATACAGCCGCTGTCTCACCCAAAGTGGTTCCTCGTCTGACTCAATGGGCCGCCATGCCTGGGTCTGTGGGTTGAATGCCCAGCCGAAATGATCATACTCGTTTCGTGGGCGGAAACCGCCAAACACGGCCATCTCCGTGACGTTCTCGCTCGTCTTGAGGGCTGCAGCTGTGTGGTAGCTGGAGGCAATCGGTGCTGTGGCTGCTCGTGACAGTTGGAACCATCTCATGAGGTGCAGGTCGAAGCGCCACAAGTCGTCCAAGAAGAACTCGTTGTCGCAGTCCTCGCCACCATACAGATAAATGCTGCTGCCCATCCGGACAAGGGTGCTGCCACGCCGCTCTGCTGGGCGTGGTCCACCTTCCTGCACCACCACTCGATGCGTCTCCCTGTGTACACATGTGTGGCGTGGGTCAGGATGAGTTGATGAGAAATTTGCAGGGGGAAGGGGTCACTGGTATCTTCAGTGTCCACATGAAAAAACAAGAGTAGTAAACACAGGAACCACACACACACACACACACACACACACACACACACACACACACACACACACACACACACACACACACACACACACACACACACACACACACACACACACACACACGCACCACCGCCGCCGCCGATTGGCACTCCCCCCCCCCTTTACGGTACGGTACGCACGGGAAGAAGAAGAATGCGTCGTTGGCACAGCCGGAGCGTGGCTTACGTTGGCCGCCAAACACAAACATGGCGCTATCGTTCACAGTCGCTGAGGAACCATAAAAGCGCGAAAACGGCGAGGTGTGCTGGTCAAGCTCATCGAGCCGCACCCACACTGTCAGTGCCTCTGCGTCAACATTTTCTTCATCAAACACGACCACATCCTCTGGGTTGACGGGTTCCTCCTCGTCGTCGTCGTCGTGGTCATGGTCATCGTCGTCTTCCATGCTCTCGCCCTTTGCCTTGTCCTCTTCTTGCTGCTGCTTCTCTCGCTCCTTGCGCTCTGCCTCGAGCACACCGCCAACGTCAAACTTCCAGTCGCTGTTGGCCACGGAGCCCGTGTACCCACCGAGCTGAATGACCCAGTGGCCGACTGTTTGCGACGATGGCCACGCACGCGCCGTCATGCTGCTGTAGAAGAACTTGTCTTGCCACACGCCCTGAAAACGTGGTGGACGCGGCGCAATGTGTGTATGTGTGTGTATGTTTGTGTGTGTGTGTGTGTGTGTGTGTATGCAGTGCGTGGTGTGTGTGTGCGTGTGCAGTGCGTGGTGTGTGTGCGTATGTGTGTTTGTGTGTTTGTGTGTGCGTGTGTTTGCGTGCGTGCGTGTATGTATGTGTGTGTGCGTGTATGTATGTATGTGTGTGTTTGTGTGTGCGTGTGTGTGCGTGTTGCGTGAACATTGTGTTGCATTGAACGCAACGGCATGTACGCAAGAGACAGTCTGGGCTTCAGCGCGTGCCTGCAGGCACACAGCAGCACGCGAACCGGCGCGCACAAGCGTGGTCGACTCACCGAGAGAACGGGGGCGTGGGAGTGAGCCGTAAGAGATTGGGGCGTGTACAACCACGTGCTCCAGGCATCGCCCGTTTGTGGGCGGAAAAAGTCACCAAAGAAGAGAAACTGCTCAACATCGATACCAGCCGCGAGTGGTGTGGCGGAGAACCCGCCCAGCAAACCGATTCGACTCGAGGCACTGTGCATCACACGCAGATTCAGGCGCGGGCAGAGTGGCGGATGGGACGCAGAGAAAGTGCACGGTGTGTGAGGAGGGAGTGCAAGCAAAATTGACGAGAGATTGACAAGAGAACGCCCACTTCGGAGCATGCGTGCAAAAAAGAAGGGGATGAAAACAAGGGAAACTGGAAAAACAAACATACAAGTTCACACACATACACACATACACACAAACACACACATACACATGCACGCATACACACGCGCAAGCACGCATACGCACGCACGCGTGCACACGCAGAGCAAAACAATCCATCCCTTACCCGCTGAAAACTGGGGTGAGAAGGCGGGACAGGGAGCGGATTTCAGTGAAGCGTGGTGCTGGCTCATCTGTGCTGTATTCGTGGAGAAAGCCGACCAAGGAGTCGCTAATGCCGTCGGGAACGCCAAAGAGGACAGTGCGGTTGTTGCCGAGGGGAATAACCGCACCACGCGAGACAAAGCGCACCTCATCCTTGCACTCGCGATACTGGTTAAAAACACAAGCGCTGCCCAGTGCCTGGCATGAGAAGGTCGTCGAGCCCGTGGCAGCGTGCGGATCCGGAAAGGTGCACATGCTGACGTTAGCCACATAAGGGGACGCGCGGCCGGGGAAGCCGCCATAGATCATGTATGTGCGTGGGACCCTACCGCCAACGCGATACATGAGGCTGCTGAGCAGGGGGCGGAGCAGCGAGGCCGAGTCCGCAGGGACAGCTTGCGCGAGGAGGGACCAGCCCAAGTCTTCCGTGTAGCGCCAAACCTCATTCGTGGTGTCCGTGCACTCGAGGAAGATTTCTGTGGTGTCGCCCACGTCGATATGTCGCCTGCGCGCCTCCAGGCACCCGCCGAAAGAGTACAGCTCAAAAGGGTGGTAGGCCGCCGACACAGCCGGGAGGAAGCGCGGAGCCATGGCGGCGGGCTTCTCAAGCCGCGTCCAGGCGCAGGTGAAGAAGGACTGCGTCTCGATGGGCGAGCGCCAGACCTCCAGCATCCAGTGGTCGTCGAGGATGGTGACGTTGTTGTCAATGTAGACGGCGCCCCCAAGCACCATGAGCTTGCCCGCGCCCTCCCGAAGTGGTCGCCTGGCGGGACTGGACGTGTTGTAGACGGAGAGCGGCGTGATGCGCTCTGCGGCATGGTGCATGCGCGTGCGGAACCGGGGGTCGCTGGCGTTGGCAGCGCCAGAGTAGATTTCGCAGACAGACCACAGGTTGAGCTTGCGGGAGAATACCCAAATGTCATCCGAGAGGCGGATGGTTGCCCTGTTGTTGGCAATGTCGTTGGCGTTCCCTCCGCCAACGGTGACAGAGATGAAGTCTGACTCCAGCGCGAGCAGCGTCGTCGTGTGCCAGGCGAGGGACGGTGGGGTGGCTGTTTTGCTTGTCACCAGCTCTGGTGCGTTGTATGGAATGATGACTCGAGCGTGCGCCAGTTCACAGGGCACGACCGATATTGCAATGCCAAGAACCGCGACAACGGCGGCGGCAATGCCCATGGCGGTGGTGGCGGTGGCGGTGCGCCTTTGCGTCGCCGGCTTCAACGGCACCGGTGTGTCCACGGCCATCGCATTGGCGCACAAACGCGTTGCCTGCAGGCACACCAAAAAAAAAAAAAAAAAGGAAGCGCAGGACGCGGAAGGGAGAAGGTGGGTGGGAGTAGCAGATGTGAGGGGTGTGAGGGTGCGATGTCAATGAAATGACCTCTCAAAGTGAAAGATGAACAGCAGCTATGTTAATAGGTTAATTGCAGTGAAGACCCCACTCACTCACTCACTACCGCCACCATGGCAGGCATACATTCAGGCAGGCACAAGTTGTTGTCGGCGGCTCACCCACTCCAAAAGGGAATCCTTGTGTTGCGTTGAGGAGCAAAGGACAGCTGTGACGAAAAGTGGCCAAAGTTTTGTGCACATTTCATCAGGCACGACTTGACAGACGATAACACAGAATGTGTGTGTGCGCGTGTGCGTGTATGGACACAGATTCAAGTGGTTTGCTTTGCTGGTGCTTTGAACGTAACGTAACGTCATGTAATGTAACATAACTTCTTCATTCATTTATGTGTTTGTACCACAGGGACGGACACGGGAAGAAGAGAGGATGGAAGGACAAAATGGAAGGACAAAATACAGAAGAGAGATCAAGGGAGTTTGTTGCCTACGAGCACAAAGAGAGTACAAAAGAGTACATGAGAGCACATGACGAGGAACGAACGTGGCTTAAGCCACGGCAAAACCAAATTTCACGGGTTTTGTTTTGTGGGATGCGCCTGAACAGGCAGCGCTGTGGCTTAGAGCTGCAGGTCGCCAAAGAGGGCTTGCATGTGCTGGAGCTCTTCCCTGTGCGCGTCCTTGTCCTCTTGTGGCAGCGCCATAATGGTGCGCCGCCTGCTGTCCACCATCTGCGGGAACGCCGGTTCAGCGGCCTCTATTCTCGACACAAGCGCGTTGTTGGAATCGTACAGCTTGCCTGCAAGCACCACAAAGAAGGAACGGCGAGCGTGAGCGTGGACGTGAGCGTGGACGTGGATGTGGATGTGGATGTGGATGTGGATGTGGATGTGGATGTGGATGTGGATGTGGATGTGGATGTGGATGTGGATGTGGATGTGGAGGCGAGGGAGAGAGGGTACAAGTGAGCGAGGGAGTGAGGCAGGAAGTGAGGCAGGACTCACCCGAACAATTCACGCACACGACATGTGTCCCCTCACAAATCAGAGCCAAACGAAGGACACACACAGACACACACAGACACATAGACAGACACACACACACACACAGACACACACACACACACACGATCAAAAACGGGTGACTTACTCAGCAAGTGCATGTCATGTTCCCACAGCTGGTCATCGGCGTCTGCCGTGAGCGCGTTTGCAATGAGCGCGAGGGACGCTGGCTCAAACAAAGTCGCTGAGGAACAAACAAGAAGGGCGAGGGGAAGGCAGAAACGCATGCATGACACACAGGTGAGGCTCACATTGAAATAAGACGCATGGCAAAGCGGCAAAGGAATCAATCATCATCACACATACACAACAGCAGACAAGGATGTCCAGAATTCCCGCGCGCCACATACCTGCAACAGATGGCTGCTCTCTCACAAGGTGTCGCAGGAACACAACCGTCTTGATCTGTCACACACAGTGAGTGGAAGCGATGAAGGAATGCGGCTTAACGTGTGAGCAGTGGGCAGTACGTCAGCGAAGAAGGTGTATGCACACAAAATAATCACAGAACGCACGAAACACACACACACACACAACAGCCACACACACACACACACACACACACACACAACAGCAAGACACACACACACACACACACACACACACACACACACACACACACACACCCAGACACACACACACATACATACAATTGCACGCAAAAAACATGCACACACAAACACATACACACGCACAGCCCTGCGTACCTGTAGTCTGGATGAAGTGGGGTGCCGGAGGCAGTGGAGGGTGTGTTGAATGGCGTTGGGTTGCTGCAGGAAGGTGTGCATGAGAGTGTCGGATCCGCGCACCATGGCGCTGAGGGCGCTGAGGGCCTTCAGCCGCACCGTGTTGTGGTCAGAGGCGGACAGCAGCGTCAGCACACGCGGCAGCAGGTCCGCCTCGGCCAGCGCGGCCTGTGCCTTGGGGTTGTTCTGGGCCAGGTGCGCCAGGATCTCCGCGGCGCGCCACTGGAACTCTGGCGATGGGTTCTGAAGGCTGCCCTGGATGGTGGCGAGTCCGTTGATGGCCAGGAAATCGTGCGCAATGTTGATGTCCTCCACCTCATCGGAGATGGTCTCTAGGGCCTCGTGCTTGTCTTCCTCGCTTGCATCGGATCCGGAGAGGAGCGTGCTCAGGGCGTCCTTCACAGCCGACATGTGGTCGCGGCCCGTGAGGTTGCCCAGGAACTTCTCCAGAAACACGCGCCGGTCCTCGTCCAGGTTCTGTGCCGTGGAGGTGGCCGCCTCCTCAGACTGCGGCACAACGCGGTCGCCGCTGCCGGCTGTCTCCTCGATCACCCAGCTCAGCACCCCTTGCAGGGACGTGTCATGGCGGTGGTTGTGCTGCACTGGCTGTCGTTCTCCAGCGGGCTGTTGCGGCTGCGGCTGCGGCTGCGGCTGCGGCTGCTCTTCATCTTTTTGCACAGGCACCAAGCTCATTGTTGTTTGTGTGTGTGTGTGTGTGTGTCTGTGTGTGTGTGTGTGTCTGTGTGTGTGTGTGTGTGTGTGTCTGTGTACTTGTGTTGTGTTTGATTGATGGTCAAGTGGAGCTGGCTGCTGCGGCTGTTAAATGAACAGGTGCACCAACCAACCAAGCAAGCAGGTAGTGAGTGGTGAGGTGGTGTGTGTGATGAAGGGTGGTGGTGTTTGCTTTGTCAGCAGATGCAGTGCAGAAGAAGAAGACACGAGTGCACGCTCGAAGCCACAAGAACGTGCGCGAAGCCACAAGAAGAAGGGAAAAAAAAAAAGGCAATGTTCAAAACAAGAAAACGTGAAATTGTGACGAAAATCACATGAAAAAATACAACAAAAATCTCATGACTGTGAGTGTGCGCTGAAGAACGCGCGCAAAGCACAACAACAAAAACGGCCAACCAACCAACAAGCCTTGACGGACACAACCTCGGCGTGTGTGTGTTGGACACGGAATAACAGTAGAAGGGGAAGTGGACGCGGGCATGGCGGACACCATGGCCAAGATGGAGAGGATCATCGATGAGAAGAAGAACAGGGAAGAAGAAGAAGAAGAGGACGAGGACGACGATGACCTGCAGGTCGTGAGCATCGTGAGAGCGCAGCGGAGCAGACCACCACCACCACGCAACGACAATGCATCTGCGCCGCCGCCGTCGCTTGCGAAAGCTATCAACAGCATCTCCATCACAAAGCAGGACATCCTGCGCGCTTTCAAGCTTGAAGACCCATCAAAGTGCGCTTGCTGCTGTCTACTGCGTTGTGTCGACGAGCCGTGTTGTACATTGTCATGCTGTGTGCAACGTCATGCTGTGTGATGTGCATGACATGCGAGGATGTCCGTCCAGGGGAGGGCGGGTTTGATTGCACACACACGCTTGCCTCGTGACTGCACTATGTGACCACGCCTTGGTTCATCATCAACATACATGGCATCTGTGTGTGTGTGTGTCTGTGTCTGTGTCTGTGTCTGTGTCTGTGCCTGTGTCTGTGTCTGTGCCTGTGTGTCTGTGTGTTCTTGTACACATCTCAGGGGCCCGCAACGCTTGGTCGCGTTGGGACAGCAGCCCTGGATTTCCGGCAAGCGGCGCAAAGGTGAGCACCGTGCCCGCGGCCATGGCGTTGTTGGCGCAATGCAGCGATGCGTCCGCAAATATGCTGTGCCCGCAGAACACGCATGTCCTCCCACCCTTACCCCACGCTCACGGCTAACACTCTCCCTCCCTCACTTGCACTTGTCGCACATGGCTGTTTGCTTGCCCGCAGCTGCCATGAAAGCCTTGGCAGAGAGTGACACGCGGGACCACAGGCCTGAGAACACGCCCGCTGGCCTTATCAACCTGGGCGCCACATGCTACGTCAACTCGTGTCTCCAGGTACCTGTTTCTGGCGACCCTTGTGTCACACGTGCTGTTGATGCTCGTGTGCGCTGCCTCATATTAGCTAACACGTGGCTGACCATATGTGTGTATGCGTGTGTGTATGCGTGTGTATATGCGTGTGTATGCGTGTGTGTGTGTGTGCACTCCTGTGCATGTGTCCGTGTGTGCACATGCGGTGTTGTTGTGCTGCAGCTGTTGTTCCACACGCTGCCGCTTCGCCGAGCAGTGTTCGCTTGGCCTCAGCCACAGTATGGTGAGTCTTCGTCGGTCGACAATCAAGGCACACGTTGTTGTGGAGCGAAAGGGGACGATAGGCGTACAGTGAAGTGCAGTACACGTGCAGGTGTATGGCTGCATTCGCTTGTCCACGTGTGTTTGCTTGTCCACGTGTGTTTGCTTGTCCGCGTGTGTTTGCTTGCGTCTTTCGGCTTGTGCGCCCGACAGTACCACAGGTACATGATGATAACTTCCCCTGTGCACCACCATCGCGACTCACAACCTGCGAACGGCGGTGTTGTCGACAGCAACCGCGGGGGAGCTGAGCATGGCCCAGCTTGTGCTGAAGCAGCTGCAAGAAGTGTTCGCCAAAATGCAGAACACCAACCGCAGGTGCGGGAGTGGAGTTGAGTGGAGAGCGAGACTGTATGATGGATGATGAATGTTGAATGGAGCTGTAGCAGCACCCAATTCCTGTCGCTTGTCTGCTTGGTTGGGCGCTCGATGCAAGGCGAAAAAAGGGGGGGGGGCAAAATGGGGGAAAGGCCATTCTTTGTGTGTGTGTGTGTGTGTGTGTGTGTGTGTGTGTGTGTGTGTGTGTGTGTGTGTGTGTGTGTGTGTGGACGTGGACTGCACGCAACCACCACAGCCATGCCGAATGATGCCGCTGCTGTGATTGATGCGTTGTGTCAACGGTCTTCATCTGTGCAGTTATGTCAGCCCGAAACAGCTGATTGACACCCTCGGCCTGCCGCACCACGAGCACCAGGTGCTGTACGTGGTGTGTGTGTGTGTGTGTGTGTGTGTGTGTGTGTGTGTGTGCCCCAACGCTGGCTGCGTCACGGCCACCTGGCCGACGTCTTGCTTCCTCTCGCACCTCTCATAGTTCGAGACACGCGCCTGCATGTTGGTATCTGCTCGTCACATGCTGTTGTTGACTGTGCGCATGTGCATCTGCGTGGACAACAGGACATGACAGAATTCCAGAATTTGCTGTGGGGATTGCTGCAGCCTGAACTGTCCAGCCATGAGGTGTGTACGGCGTGTGGAGGGTGGTCTAGTGCATGTGGTGCACATGCGCCGTTGTGTGCGAGCCCAACACCTTGCCTCAGCACTTAAAACACACACACACACACACACGCACGCACAACACACACACACACACACACACAACACGCTCTCACTCGCTCACACTTACACCCATGCACACACAACACACTCTTTCTCTCACCGACACCGACACTCACACCCATGCACATGCCTGCACGAACGCACCGTGCAAGCAGCATTTGCCCGGCGTGTACGAGTTTCTCCAGGATTTTGGAGCCGAAGGAACAACAAGCCGCACCACCATGTTCGTTTGTTGCCTTGTGCTCAATGTCTTTGTTGTGCACATGTTTCAATTCCATCCACTGCCCACACCACGGTGGTTATCCACACATCCACGCATCTGCACGCACACACACACACACTCACACACGCACTCACGTACGTACTCACGTCATCCATGTTCCCCCCCCCCTTCCAAATTAACGGCAGGTGCCTTAAGTGCAAGCGTCGATCCAAGCTTGACGACACGTTTTGTGAGATCCCCGTCCACCTCCAGGTGCGTAACATGCAGTGGCCGCTTGCTCCGTAAATGTGTGTATTGTACGTGTGGGTTGTACGTGTGCTGCTGCTGCTACTGCTGCTGCTGTACAGCCCTGCATGATTGTGAGCGCATCTCATCGCCAAGCCGCTGTCGACTGTTGTGTTGATGGCGTCTTGTTCAGGAGGAGGGCCAGGATGATGAGGTGGAGACAGTTGCTGTGGAGAGCGGAGACGACGACGACGATGATGACGAAGACGATGCAGCCGCCAGTGGTGGTGACGACGGGCCGGCGACAGGCGGTGTCGAGTCTGGCAGAGGGAAGCGGGGTGGCAGGCGATCGAGTCGTGGCAGAGGCAGAGGCAGAGGGAGGGGCGGAGGGCGTGGTGGCAGGGGTAAGAAGGCGGCAGACAAGAAGAGCAGTGGCAGGAAAAAAGTGACGAAAGACGAGGATGATACAGACAGCAGCGATGATGACCAGCTCGCCAAGCGAGCGAAACATACGTCCGCCCGTGGTCGCCAACACACACGCGGTGGCCGTGGTGGTGGCGATGATGATGGCGATCACAGTGACAGTGACAGTGACAGCGATTGGGCATTGGAGACTGCACGGGACCGAAAGGGCTCAAGGAAAAGGAAGAAGAAAACAACGACGAAGAAGAGCACAGCAGCAGCAGCAGCAGCAAGAGGGAAGAGGGCGGATGCAACAACAACGGCAAAGAAGAAGCCGAATGCTGCCAAACGATCAGGCGCAGGCACCCCACAGCCCACAGCCAAGAAGACGAAACAGGGCGTGAGTTCACACACATACACGCGTGTGCGTGTGCGTGAAAGAATGTGTGCAGTTGTGGTTTTTGTATCTCTGTGTGTGGTTTTTGTATCTGTGTGTGTGTGTGTGGTTGCGAATGTGTGCGTGCTGCTCCGTCCGTGCATTCATGTGTGTGCGCTGTATCTTCTCCTTCACCCATTCACCACTTCCTCCATGCCTGCACTTGAACACATCGCTTCTCAGGCCATCACCATCGATTCTGCAATTAAGAAATACCTTCTCATGGAGCGACTCACTGGTACGAGAGTGTGTGTGTGTGAATTTGTAAGTGTAGCGTAGTGTGTGTCTGCTTTCATAACTTCTGATGGCTTGATGAGCGCAATTTCGCTCCATTGCAGCTGGCCTTCCTTTCATTGTGTGTGTGTGTTGACACCTAAACTCAGCCTCTCTCACACACACGCACGCACACATAAAAACATGAACACACAAACACACACACGCACGCACGCACGCACGCACATGCAGGGGACAACAAGTACAAGTGTGACGACTGCGGGCCACAGGAGGGCGAAATCACACACGCGCTGGAAAATGTCCCGGATCGCCTCAACTTTCAGGTCATGCGCTTCCTCGTCAACTGGAACACGGGCCAGCGACGCAAGCTGACACAGGTGTGTGTGTGTGTGTGTGTGTGTGTGTGTGTGTGTGTGTGTGTGTGTGTGTGTGATCATTCGGTTGGCATACGTGCGTGTCTTTGTTGGCCTGGCAGCCTCTCGTGTGCCGTCCGCGTGGTGCTGTTGCTCTCTGCTTTTGCCAATGCCTTCCCAGTGATATCCGTCTTCGTTCACGCTTTTCTCTTCATCTGGCGACACACGCACACACAAACACACGCGCGCGCACATGTCTCAGGTTGTGGAGTTCCCGGAAGTGCTGGATATGCGGCCCTATCTCGCCTCGCCGACAAGTGAGTCGATATCACCAGCAGTGTCATGTCTGGCCTATTTTTGAGCGAACTTAGCGCTGTTTGCTTGGCGCCATCACTTTCGCACCGCTTTGTGTCGTACCACACCACCCGTACCCTTGTCAATATTGCGCTCAAACCTTCACATTGCACTGCACTTCACCGCACTTCACTTCACTTCACTTCACTTCACTGCACTTCACTTCACTTCACTTCACTGCACGACACCTTGCAGACGACGACGTGTTTGAGCTGCGAGCGTGTGTGCTGCACCGCGGCGTGTCGGTGCACAGCGGGCATTACATCATGCAGGCGCGGGCGCCCGGCAATGGCGATGACTGGTTCACGTTTGATGATGACGACGTGCAGCCTGTCTCTGTCATCGACGGCCAACTCGCTCTTGGACTCGACACAACCTCGGGTACGGTGTGAACATGCGCCAGTGCGTGCACGTCTGTTGTCGTGTTGTTGTTTGTTTGTTCGGTTGTGTGTGTGCGCTTTTGTGTGCATGTGTATGTGTGTGTGTGTGTGCGTTTGTGTGTTTGTGTATGTGTGTGTGTACGTTTGCGTGTATGTGTGTGTATGCTTGTGTGTATGTGCGTGTATGGATTTGCACGCATGTACACGCATGTACACGCGCATGGCTGCGCTGTTTTATCGTGTATCGATGTGGCAGAACTGACTCATCACATTCCATTGTATGACAGCTGTCTTCCAGCCGAGCAAAGCGCCAAAGGCAGACACGGTGAGATGTGCACACTTGCTTGATCAACCTGCACTCAGCACCCACACTTGCTCCTTGCCGCACGCTTCTAATTCCGACCCTCCATTGCTTGCTCACCCCTTCCCTCGCCCACGCATCTTGTGGTGACACTGTCTTCAACGCCACGTAGACGGGCAACTTCGCGTCCAGGAGTGTCTATTATCTCTCCTACATGCGCAAATCCCTTGGTTCGTGTGTGCGCATGACTTGTGTTTTGGGCTGTCGTACATGTCTGCACCTGTTGTCATGCATGGGCTAGCTTCCTCTTGAGTGGTTCACGCATTTACACATGCATGCATGCGCACATGCTCGTGTCACGACCAACACAAACATTCACGCACTCACACTCACATACACATGTGCACAAACACAGCGGATCGTGTGCGGAAGATGGCGCTGCCTTCACTGCCACCAGTACTGGACGCAATTGTGGTTGCAGACAACGCAGATCTGGCAAAGGAAACGGCAGACAAGACAAGACAATATGTGGGTGCCATCTGTGATGGATGCGCTGCCAATGCGCCCTGTATGCATGTATGCGTGTTTCGTGTGTATGCGCGTTTGTGCTGCTGTCATCACGACCATCACGCCATCTCCCAACTGCTCACCGGACGTGCGTGCAACTTTGTGTCGTGTCGTGTCGTGTGTGCAGGAGGCGGACAAGCGCTACATTGTCAACGCCTGCACGGCTGTGGAGGAATTCGCCAAACTGACCACCGCAGCAGGTTCGTTGTCCATCGATGTTTTCGGATTTTCCGCATGTGTGTGTATGTGTGTATGTATGCATGTATGTTGGGAGGGAACCACTTTGTCTGCCTGTCCCCTTCCCTTCGCGCTCTCGTTGCTT